GTAGAATAGTAAGTACCGAATTTTTCAACCCCACACAACTGACCAACGCATACTGGACTCAGACTAAGATTGCTACCGCTCACAAGTCCAAATAGCACAGCGAAAACAAGGGCTATAGCTTGGGAATCACCAGCTGGTAACCACAGCGCTAGACATGTTACTACGCAGAAAGCGACAGAGATAATGAGTGTATTCACATAACCAAGGCGATCGGCCACATAGCCTGCCCCCAATCGGCCGATGAATGAACCTGCATTGAGAATGGAAACTATGTAAAAACCAAATGATGTTGATTGGCCATTTGCGACGACATATGGTGTGATGTATGTCAGAGGGACGAAAATTCCCCATTCGAGGAGGAAGATCGCTATGGTAAGGAAGACGAAAGACGGCTCCTTGAACGCAGGCCAATACGGAAGAATGCTTTTCATGCTAGGAAGCGGCTTTGTGGGAAGACGACTAGTAACGAGGAGGTTTGTTAATATGAGGAGCACAAGAAGGATGAATCCCAATATCCGTGTTGCCCATGCAAAACCAATCGTGGGAAAGAGGCGTTGCAGCATGAGAGGGATCACAACTCCACCAACACTTCCAGCCGTCATTGCAATACCAGTAGCAAAAGCTCTCTTTGCTTGAAAGTATTGAGCGATTGAAGAAATACATGGAGTATTCACCATGGCTCCACCGATACCATTGAGAACACTATATACTATGAAAATCTGCCAATATTCTGGAACAATTAGTAAGGTAGAGTAGATATGAAGTTTTGCAGAGATTAGTGTAACTTACCGCCGCATAATCCAAGCAACATCATGGACAAAATCAACAAGATGCTTCCACAGAAGATCAAGACTCTGGGGCCGTATGCATCGAATATTGGACCAACTGGTGTACCACCCAAGAAGGTCAAGAAGAGTGATACTCCAAAGATCCACCCAACATCACCAGTGGCATAGCCCTGCAATTGATGAGTGGAGAAGTAGTCGAGCAAGATACCACTGCAGTTGAGGATTCCAAAGACTGCAAATGAGCCACAGAACGATCCTACAACCACTGACCAAGCCTTCAAGCCGCCGTCAGGAAAGTTATCCTTTTCATCATCTGAAATTGAAGTTCCATCACATGGTTGTTCGGAACCATTCTGAACAACACCCTTTTCAAGATTCTCGTTGAAAGTTATAGGGCTCTCTGCGTTGTTGTTGTTATTGTCTAAACCCTCCGATTTAGGTGAAATCGAGTTTACCCCAGATTTTTCGAATTTTTTATTTTGAGAACAATCGTTTGCACTTGGTGCAAAGACGCCTGGGTTTTTTAAGCAGCTGTCCTCTGCATCGTTTTTCTCTCCCGGTGTCATATGCTACACCTTATGGTGAAATCTTATAACAGTAAGGATACCAGAATCGACTCGATGATATAAAGATGTATGTAATTGACAACTCAAGAAGAGCGGTGCACTGTGGAAAAAGGTGAGAGAAAGTGGAGAAATATTTAGACTTTTCAAGCTTTCCTATTCGAGAATCGGTCAGTTCCGATGCCAAGGGGATAGTTTAACCTCCGACACAGGTAGTAGATATCCCACGTGATGCAGAATAAATATTGAGAAGATCAATGTGTTGGAAAAGGCATGATGTTCGCTCTGAGTGGGACTGGAGGAAGCAAAAAGATGCTGGAAGTATTGAAAAGTCAAAGCATGTCCGTGATGATCAGACGGAAAAGCAAATGTAGGAGTTCGTAACTAAGACACTCCTCGACAATTCCATCATACTTATTCTTAAATTGCACTAAAATCAAAACCTTGATATACCTGATCAGGAATTGAGACCGCTGCTCGTGTTGTTGTTAGTCATTGAGATGGAAATCGTTACCAGCCAACATTTGTATAAGTTCAACTCGTGGAATTGATAATTCAACTCCCTATTTACACCAACAAGAACAAGTCTTCAATTTGTGGGTGACTGCCGATGACCATGAACATCGAAAAGAAAGTGTAGCACGTGATGAATATTCACGTGATGCCACGGAAGGTTGTTCAGATGCAGAGTATAGAATGAGCGAGCTGTTGTGTTGTGTGGTGAAGAGGCATGTATAGTCAAAAGTTCCACAAGTACAAGAACACAAGTGCTTGTTTACTTACCCTGTAGCAGGAGTTCTGTATCATAAGCATCACCAACACCCAAATGATGAGATTGCCTTTCACAACCGCAGTGACATGTGTGTATGGTATGCATTACCTGGATTGTCGCGTCGTCTTCCAGGATCAAATGCGTTTAGTCACCGACGTGATGAGGTGTTTGACTGAATGAAGGGGACTTGGACCCATGATATGGATGTTATATAGTCTAACGGAAAGTTCCTTGGCTCTCGGGATTAACGACGGGGGAAAGGGATGCAAGGCAAAGCAATGACCACGGTGCATAATTTACATTTCGGCCGAAATGTATCGATAATAATGGCGAACGTCCAAGTTTCGTCAACGCAAAGTCTAATAACTGCCGTCAATTCACGCAGATAACTTAACTCCAGCTCCAATTATGGGGCTTAGTTGTATGCCATGGCCGGTGTTAAGGATTAAAGTTCTGTCAGCGAGTATGAATGTGGAGAATGATTAAGAATGCTTTCTTTCAAGAATGAGATCACAGCATTGTAGCCAGATATAAAATGTCTTCATTCACCCTCTCGATCAATTTCAAATCTCTGAGATACACACTTATACACATTATCTGATCCTCATTTCAAACCGTCTCTTTTAATATAAGCGTATTCTACTAAACACACAAAATGGCTTTCCCTCCACCCCCGCCCCAAAAACTGCTCTTGGTCACTACAGAATGCTTTCACCCTCAGCATCAGTTAGAGTGAGCCCTCTATGCTTGGGAGCAATGAACTTTGGAAATGCCTGTAAGGATGCTTCATTAAGACTCAGTTCGATAGTCACTAACACTATAAAGGGGAGAGCTTCATGGGAGCTTGCGATCAAACACAAACCGAGGAGATATTGGACTTCTTCTATGAGTCTGGTGGAAACTTCATTGATACCGCCAACAATTATCAAGCCGAAGAATCAGAGAAATGGATTGGTGAATGGGCTGAGAAGCGCGGAATTCGAGACCAACTCGTTATCGCCACCAAGTTCACAACTTGTTACCGAGCTGGGCATGGTGACAAAGAGATTTTGATCAATACCACCGGAAACGGAACAAAATCTCTCCACTTATCTCTTGAAGCAAGTTTAAAGAAGTTGAGAACATCTTATATTGATCTTCTGTATGTTCATTGGTGGGACTTTACTTGCTCGATTCCAGAACTCATGCAATCCTTGAACGCATTGGTCTTGTCCGGAAAGGTTCTATATCTTGGGATTTCAGACACACCAGCTTGGATTGTATCAAAATGCAACCAATATGCTCGTGATCATGGATTCCGTCAATTCTCGGTGTATCAAGGACGCTGGTCTGCCGAGAACCGTGATTTTGAGCGTGACATTATCGATATGGCTGCTGATGAAGGGATGGGATTAGCTCCTTGGGGCGCATTGGGAGGTGGTCACTTTAAGAGTGAGGAGCAACGCAAATCCGATGAAGGACGAAAGATGTGGGAACCAACCGAGGCTGCCATCAAGATATCTAAGGTCCTTGAGAAGATTGCCAACGAGAAGAAGACCATAATTACCAGTGTAGCATTGGCATATGTGTTGAGGAAGGCGAAGTATGTATTCCCAATCGTAGGTGGAAGAAAGCTTGAGCATCTCAAAGGAAACATTGAAGCTTTATCATTGGAGCTGAGTGATGATGATGTCAAACAAATTGAGGAGGCAAATGCGTTTGATATCGGATTCCCTCAAAGTTTCTTAGGGGGTCCAAACGGTGTGAAGAATCCAGGTGATGTGTGGTTGATGGCAGGAGCTGGTGTAACGGATCATGCTCAACCATACAAGCCTTTTTCACCAAAGAAGCAGTAAATGGTCGAGAGAAGAGCAGATGGAATTCGGATACGTATATACAGGGATCAATAAGTAGAAACAATCTCAATTTTGTGTTTTGAAAAAATCAATACCTCATATGCTTTAGTTCAACGGATTGAATGATACTGGACAATAAACAGACTGTACCTTTCGCGATTCGTGGACTTGATTCAAGGCTATAGCAGTTGAATCGCTGGTGTACTACTCAGTTTCTTCTTGTCGTGAAGGTAAACGACGATACGATGGAAGGGTAATGCAAATTCAAAATGAAATCGTTTGTATGCTGGAGTATGTTGGGTACCCAGTTATGAACATCTGAAGTTTAGAAGGTGATTTGGCATGAATCTGAGCTTTTCTATATACAATCACACCAAAACGGAGCATACGAAATTGACATTCAATTCTTTCTAAAATGAAGCAAAACTCAACAACATGTTGATTCAAGATGTAGAACCTGCTACTCTGAACTGGACAATTTCCAATCATCTTGCTGATCTTAGATATCGATTCTATAATCATCGTATTTCAAAAATGTGCCACAACTTGACGGGGCCACGTGATGGGTCCCTCTCGCCGTACCTGAAAATCAGCCACAACTAGCCGCATACAGTAAGTGGGGAACATCGCTGTACCTTTTTACTAGCTTAGATCATGATCCCGAAATTATGTTACCCCAGACTTTCTCACCACAAATTCCAAGGTTCCCAAGGCTGAAAATAATTATTTGTTTGTTAAAGCATTGTCGATATAATCAATATCAAAATCTTTGAAATTACCTAGGTAATTAACATTTTCAATAATAGAAATTTGTTTTTACAAAGTCATCATCTCGAAAGAATAACGTACATCATCTTTCAATCGAGTTTCTGCAGCAACTTCAATGCTGATCAGGAGTATTTCACAACAATCAAGGATCCTCAGCCTCGAGTTGAAATAGGAGACTCAATTCAATACAAACGCGACTCGATCTAACAACAAGACCTGCAACAGAGAACATTGCAACAAGATCCAATCATATTCTGATTTACTCGATCTCAAAATGGATCAAATTTTCAAAATCAAAGATGCTGTCGTTAATTACCTTTCTCCCGTTGCGAAACGTCGTAGAACAATGGGGGGACCTCAAACACCAGGTTACATCGAATTCGACGACGAACACCAATTTTTTTCCGAACCACAAAACAATAGGAGATCTCTCGACTTCGCATATGGTCGCATGAAACAAAACTATGGCTCGAAAGAAGACAGAACGACACCCACAAGAAATCCCCTCAAACGTCCTCGCGAAGACGATGAAGCTGAAGGGCCTGTATTTTCAGGAGATGACATCTCACCAAAGCAAGCTTCTTCGCACAACGTCACTGAGAGTGGTGAAGAATCGGAAACCACAGATTATATGGATGAAGACGAGGATGAAGAAGAGGAAGAGGATCTAATTTCTGCTCAGCAAAAAGTAGATGAATATCTTGCAAAGCAAGCTGCGGAATTTGCTATGGCAAAAGAGACGGTAGAAAGAGCTCGAGCGGATGGCGAATGGTCCTCCGAAGAACTTTTTCTATTGGAAAGACTTCAATACATGGGCCATGAAGGACTTTTGCCGCACTGGGCAAAGGAGCGGAATTTTCGGACAGTTCCTGAGGCTATGTTTTGCCCTGATGATAATGCCCTTTTGGGTGAGAGTAGCAAATGTAAGTTTTTTTTAGAACTCTTGAATTGCTCCAGACTAATCGTTGCGCAGCTATCCAAATGTTAGAATTCCTCGTTCACTACCTACCTCGTCGCGTACATGATAGATACTATGGGGGATCTGGACCACCTGAAGCACAGATGCGGCAATGGATTGGCAAATACGTTGAATGGACTGAGAGAGATGGAGGGTATCATAAGAAGAAGTTTATTCCAGTTCTGTGCCTCGTTGAAGGTCGATGGCGCGCGCCCGCTGCAGAAACGACCAAACGCCTCAAAGATCAAATGAATTTCCATGCCGAATCATGGCGTCGAACGCTACAACGTCCTTCGCCCATTGTCAATGAGTTTGGTGAGATAGAAATTTACTTTCGACGCCCTCCTCTTATTTATGGAATTCTTTACGTACAAGCCAAAGCTCTTTTCGTTACACTCGACTCTTCGGATCCACAAGCAAAGATTAGAGATATTCACGTTTGTGATTTCTTAGACACAAGCAAGCATTTTTGGCATGCTATATCTGTTGCTATAGTGGCTAAAATTGCGCAAAAGTACATGATGTCAATTGTTGATACATTGGAGGATGATGATCCGCAGGAACCAGATTCGTGTAGTGAGAATGAACTAGAATCCGCACGTGCGAGGGAAAAGAGACTGCAGAAAGAAGCAAAGATACTGGAGCGAGAAAAAGAGCGTCAGCGCCAGGAAGACCTTTCGAGACTCGAGCAACAAATGAATAAAATTAAGATGGAAGAAGAGGAAGATAATGTTATGGAGTCCATCGAGGAGTATGAGAGAGTGGAAATTATTGAGGGTGAAGAAGAAGAACAGGAAGACTTCGAGGACGATCGACCATCAATGTCGGAATATGATGAGGAAGAAGAGGAAGAAATGGAGGTTGAGGTTGATGAGGATGCAGACGAAAACGAAAACGATGAGCAAAGTGCCGATGAATTAATAAGCGACGAGGATGTTGAGGATGCTGAAGATGGTGTCGAAGAAGAAGATGAGCCAGACGACAGCAATGTTAGCAACGAAAGCGATAACGAAAAGGTTAAAGTCGTCAATCATTACAGAACTGGACGTACCCCTAGATCAGCAAGCTCTGATGAATTGTAGCAACGCTATCGCCCTATTATTGTTTGAAAAGTACATACATCTCACTTTTTTGTATGATTATTTTGTTGGATGTAAGATTACTACTTTCAATTTTTCTTTCCTTCAAAGGTTCTTCGCGCGCATCAACACGGAGCAGTCACGCCACTGTAGGGTCGATTCAGCCAAGACGTACTGAGAATGCACTCGAGCAAACTGGCTTTGAAAAGATCATTTTGAGGCATTTATCAAATGCTCCCTGATATTGGTACATTATGGAATACATAGGAAGGATAATACTAGGCAAGGGATTGGGTGGAGGGAGGAATCATTATGGATTACAATTTTTTAATTTTTCCTCTAGCTGTTTTCCTGTCATGAAATCATGAAATACCCCTTTTTACTTTACTGCAATAATGATAATAAGCAGAAATATTTAAAACTACATGAGTTTTCTGAACATGTATACATTGATACACACAAGATTGACTGAGTTTATGAATTGTCTGGTGAGTTCTTTAGGCCTTATGGCCTATCCGGACAGTGATACGTTTTTGCGTCAGACAAACATCAAGATCTAAAGAAGTATATGGTAGGTTTATGCATGTCTTCCAACATGAAAGCATGACAGCCTGTAGAGTGCAAGTATATTCATCGCTCATTCGAACCTCCCATAACATCTGTCACTTTCGCTATGCAATAATTTTGGTATCCGCAATCCCAATGCAATCGAAGCCTCCTTTTTCTCCAATCCCCAAAACGAAACATCCACCATAAAAGTTCTCCCTATGCTCATATCTCAATTCCTCAAAATCCCCCCCCATCCCCTTTCCCCTCAAATTTCCCTCCCCTCCTCTCCCAACCACTCTAATGATCCTCCAACGCTCGTGCCTCCAGCGCCGCAACCCCCTGTTCCAACTCCCTCACCCTCGATCCCACGCGTCGTTTAATTTCCTCTCCATATTCCCCCTCAATCGCAGATGTATACATATCTTTTAATTTCTGCAACTCTTCTACTGCGGCTGCGCGGTCGGCTTCGGCGTATACGGAATGTTTGTCGGTTTCTTCGCTTGCTATCTGTTTATTAAGAAGAGAGGGGGAATTAGTTATGGAATCCCTGAATGAGAGGGGGAGGGGAAAGAGGGGGAGGGGAAAGAGGGGGAGGAACAAACCTCGAATTCATCCCGCGCAACTCCATACTGTTCGGTCAAATCTTCGATTATTGCATCTGCCGGTGTCGCAGTCGCATAGCTTCTCCTTCCGGCATTCCAGCTATTCTGCGGAGAAAGACTGCATAATGATATGCGCTGTGGAAAATGTGCAGCAGTCGATTTCCCAACTGGAGTTCGTGTGGAGAACCCCGCTAATAGCGTTCGTTGCGTGTGCTTACAGAAAGTAGCGCGTAGCGGAGAAACATGAGGGGTTTTGCGGACGAGAGTGCGTGGGAGACACTTTGGGATCAGGGATGACATCTTTGTGGTAGTGGTTGGATATGGGGGTGAGGGGTGAGAGTTGCGTAGGTGTGTTTACTGCTTGTGCAGGATTGGGGATTTGGGAGATGGAGGTTAGAAAGCTTAAATTTGGTTAGGGAGCTCGGACCTGATGACGTTGGGTTTGGCATGTTGCTGTGTGTTTGTACGTACACCCTGGTGGGCGATGAGGGAATTGTTCTCATATCCATACTATTGATACCTGTATGTAGGTATGAAAGAGATGTCTATGTTGTAATATGATACTCAAGTAAAACTATGTGATATCTAGAACTGCATCTAAAATATTGATTCCTATGATATTGAATCCTATTATATACTTTCTAATGTGTTGATTCTGATCTGACAATTAGATAATTTCAATTTCTCAATGGGAGTTGAATAATTAAATATTTTCGATAATCCCATCTAAATTTTGTTCGCGAATAATACCTTGCTTGTTGCAAATCTATTTGATATGTGATGTATTTCGTTCATCTGAAGCCCTGTACTCTCAGCTCCCCTGATCAGTGTAGGTCTCTCGCTAATTAGCGAGCTAGTTTTAGTTTTTGGGTGATCTAATGGTGATCTTGTTGATCAAAGAGTCTAACCCCTTAGTAGTCGATTACTTCTTCTCTCTGGTGATGCCGGATTTGAAAGTGAGAAGTGGGAAGTGTAGAACATGTGATGCGAGATGTAATACGCTATGGGAATGGGATTATTTTGCTCGAATTTGCTTTTCGGCTCTTTGAAATGTATTGATTGTCCTTGGGTTACTTTTTGAAATATCTTATATATGCGAGGCAAAATAGCCATTCGGATTCAATGTTCCATTATCGGCACATAAGCAAACAGAAAGATGTATAATTAAGGAGAGTACTGTTGTCCATATTTACTAAATGTCTATATAAGAATCATGAATCGTCTACCTCAAGAGAGACGGTCCATAAATCTGAAAAGAATGGTGTTGATAAACAAGAAGAAAAAAGGCCAATCAACATATAAAATATTCAAGGTGTCTGCCGCACAATCTGGTACAAGAATTGAAGGTAAAAAGGTCGGGCTTTTGTCTACCACGAGTCTAATTCTAGAAACAGAAGATGGAAAAAGGGTGAGCTTCGCTGACCACGTCCAAGTTGCCTCCCCTCGCACTCTCTGGAAAAAATAGAATTGGAAAATACATAAAAATGAAATGACTTTTGGGAGTGGAATGTTTTGGGTATTCGAGATGCAGTGGTGTCTCTCTTTGTGAAGGATGGAAAATGCGAGCGTAATTAAGATTAAATTTCATCAGTCATTATTCATACATCTATATGAAAAGAAATTATATTAGTAATTGTTCTGGATTATCAAAACCTTAAAGTAATAAGATGATCAAACATACCTCTTCATAAAACATCAATCTTGCAACTAAAATAAAGATCTGAACTTAACACTGTTAAGTCTTCTCTTTGACTTTGGCTTGTGCTCAGGAACATTAATGACGTCTCCTGGTTTGATCTGTTCAAAATCCTGGATATGTGAATTGGCATGCTCAAGATCTTTCAGGGAAACTCCAAATTTATGCGCCAAATCAAACAAGGTATCTTTTGCTTTAACAGTGTAAGTTTTATGGTCATCTCCACCGGTACTGGGAATTTTCACAGTCTCGCCAGGCAAGAGTGAGTTGACCATGATGATGTTTGGATTGGCAGCTTTCAAATCGGCTAGAGTAATTCCGTTGGTGTTGGCGATATCAGTGAGTGTATCTCCTGGTTTGACGACGTGTTTATGTTCTTTGCCGTGGGCAACATTGCTGGGTGGGAAATTGATGGTTTGACCTGGGGCAATGGAATTATAGTCATGGATACCTGGATTGGCGGCTTCCAGGGCTTGGATTGAAACTTTGTTTGCGGCGGCCAAAGAACTGAGAGTATCTCCTGGCTTTACGATAACGGTAGCGCCATTGGAGGGGAGTTTGATCACTTGTCCAGGTTGAATCAATTCAAAGTTAGAAATTTGTGGGTTTGCGGCTTCAAGTTCAGCCAGTGAAAACCCTAATCCTTTGCATATGTTATACAGACTATCTCCTTGCCTGACAGTATATGTACTTGGTGAGGATGGGGTATGAGCTTTGAGGTTGATAACCTGTCCAGGTTGTAGTAAATCTGGGTCTGCTATTTGTGGATTCAAAGCCTCAAGAGTAGCCAATGGGATTCCATTATTTTGAGCGACACTGAAAAGAACATCTCCTGATTTTACAGTGTATGTAGATGGTAGTGCGGAGGTAGTTTTGAAACTGGCGGGGGCCGATAACGAAGTGGTGAACGAGCTTTGGTATGGAGTAATGGAGGACTTGGTGCATGAATCTCCATGGATGTGAGGGATGCATGGACCATACTGAGGAGGTGAACTTTCATGGGTAGATGAAACGGTTGTGACTTCATGGATGGAAGAAGTGGGAGGTTTCGATAAAGTTGACGGGGTAGAAGAAAGACTATGTGTGGACTCAGCACATGAACCTCCATGGATGTGAGGGATGCATGAGTCTTGATGGGTGGATGAACTTCCATGTGTAGAGACAGGTGGGACTTCATGAATAGAAGAGATTGAAGGTTTGGGTAAATTTGATGGAGTAGAAAAAGAATCATGGGTAGACTTGGTGCATGAACCTCCATGGACATGTGGGATGCATGAAACTTCATGGGTAGATGAAACAGGCGAGTTTTCATGGATAGAAGAGGTGGAAGGCTTCGATAAAGTTGAGGGAGTAGAATAACTACTATGAATGGTTTGGGTGCATGAACCTCCATGGATGTCAGGGGTGCATGAAGATTGATGTGTAGACCAGACAGGTGGGGCTTCATGGATAGAAGAGGTTGAAGGTTTGGATAAAGTCGAAGTAACTTGAATCGATTGAGTGCATGAGCCTCCATGGATATGTGGAATACATGAATTACCATGGTCAGATGGAGTGGGTGGTACTTCGTGGATAGAAGAGGCGGAAGACGCAGGTGTAGTTGATGGAGCAGAAGAGATCTCATGAACAGATTTGGTACATGAGCCTCCATGAATATGTGGAATACATGAACTACCATGGGTAGATGGAATGGGTGGAATCTCGTGAACAGAAGAAGCGGAAGGTCCAGAGAAGGTTACTAGGGTGGAAGTAACGGTAAAAATTGATGGGCTACATGAACCTCCATAGACAGATGATATACATGGACCGTTATGAGTAGATGAAACAGGTATTTCGTGAGTGGAAGAAGCGGAAGGTATAGATAAAGTTGATTCAGAGGAAGAAATCTTATGTGTTGAAGACATGCTGTGCGCCGAAGAAATATCGTGTGTCGAAGGGATATCATGCGTGGAAGTATGCGTGGCAGGGTTGCCATTTGTGGAAGATACACTATGTATGGAATCATGCGTCAAAGAGATACTGTGTATCGAAGGGGTACTATGTGTGAAAGAGGCACTGTGTGTTTTCGAAGGGTAATCGTGTGTAGAAAAGACACTATGGGTAGAAGCATGTTTCGAAGAAGCACTATACGTGGAATGGATATCATACTCCGAAGAGGCAATGTGTGTTGAAGATACACCATGTGTGTAAGAAGCACTATGCGTCCAAGAGGCACTGTGTGCGGAAGAAAGTGTGGAGGATACGCTATCTGCAGAAGACACACTGTGTATTGTTGAATGAATACCATGTTCTGAAGTTACACTGTGTGTCATCGAAGAGACAACATCCGTTGAATAGATACCATTTGTTGAAGGAGTATCATGTGCCAAGGAGGTGTATGGGCCTCCATGAATGAATGGCACACATGGACCTCCATGACTGGCTATACATGGACCTCTATGGGTCGATGAAGTGGGTGGAAATTCATGAATAGGTGAGAGTATTGGAGCATGAGTAGTTCTATGAGAAGAGCTGGATAAGGTTGAAGAAGCTCTATCAGGAGAGGTGGATAGTGTAGAAGGAATTCCAGCTCCATATCCCAAAATACTAGATGCACTGGTTGAACCAGAAGAGGGCACAGTGGTAGCTGCTGATCCTGGGAAGGATGATCCGGATGATGGAGCAGTTGAGACAGATACCGGGAAAGTATGTGTGTTTGAAGAACTTGCACCAATAGAGTTTGAGCTGGATAGAGTTTCACCTGATTTAAAGGTATTAACATCGGTATATGATGAGGTAGCGGCTGAAGTTACCGATACACTTTGATGTCCTCGAGTTACAGATGGTTGTTCAACAACACTTGATGGGACATCGGTATCATGGTGATTGGATGATTGTGTCGATGGAACGTGGGTAGTCTGGTCACTGTGTGATTGCACAACACTTGATAGAGCATCGGTAGTTTTGTGATGGACCGGTTGTTTTGATGATGGGATATTCGTGGCTTGGTGACTGTGTGATTCAACAAGACTTGATAGGACATTTGTAGTCTTGTGATTGAATGATTGTGTTGATGGGGCATCAGTAGGTCGGTGACTGTGTGATTCAATAATATCTGATGCGCCATTGGTAGTCTTGTGGCTGAGCGATTTTGTCGTTGATGGGGCATCAGAAGAGACTCCAAGTGTAGAAGAATCAGATAGAATAGACGAGCTTCCACTTGATAGGGTGGAAGATGCTCCAATTGCAGTTGTAGTATGAGTCCATTTAGATTTCGAAGAATCGATAGATGGAGTAGAATACATTGGAATCGATGAGAAGGTTGAGGCATGAGGGGCTTTGGAGACCGAAGAGTTGAATGAGGTAGAAGAAATTCCAGTTGCGATTGTGCTATCGGTTTCTGTTGATTTGGCCGAAGCACTTGGAGATGAGTCGGAAGTAGTTGATCCATATTGAGAGGCTCCATTAGATGCCGAAATACTTGATGAAGGGGCAGTTTTGGATTTCTCATTCTCAATTTCACTCGTAGTCTTGCTGGGCGATGAGGAGTATGTATACGAAGCCCATCCATCTGTCTTTGTGGATCCGACAGGTTCAATACTGCTTTGACTAGATAAAGAGATTGAGAAAATGGTAGAAGATTTTGAAGTAACATCATTTGGCACGGATCCGCCGGTTTCGGTAGGGCCATAATTAATAATACTTGACTTTGAAGTTTGTGGCTTGATGTACATTGAGACAGAACTGGTTTGAGAAGTGATAACACTTGATGACCATGAAGTTGGTACAGAGTCGACTGGCACTGACATACTGGTACTCGGAGTAGTAAGTTTAGGAGTGGAAGGACCAGAAGTGGAAGGACCATAAGCAGACGGACCGTGATCAGAGGGAGCATGAGCGGAGGAATCATGAGCGGAAGAGATGGCTGGCACCCAGCTGGATGATAGAGAGGAGGCCAGGGTTGTGTGTAGTGATTCTACGCTGGATGAGTGAATGTAACCTGGGTTAGTAATCGATGACTTTATAGTCGAAGAAAGTCCTGTAGCAATATCAGATGAATGAGTAGAAGTTGGGGCAGGGATTGAGGTCATGACAGAAGAAACTCTTGGTGTGCTAGAAATTTCTTTTGAAGAGACTTTTGGAACAGTATACGATGGCAAGTCCGAAGTTACATGATGAAGAGTGGAGGTTTTAACAGGAACATAACTGGATGAATGAACTGAAGATTCCTCTGGTATCATATTGGATGGCAAACCCGAAGTTGATAAACTTGTATGAACAGCCGAAGTTGAGGCTGATGGATGAACCGACGGTGCACCATAATGAAGAAGCACCGAGCTTGATGGACGAACCGATGGTTCACTGGAATGATCTGAAGCTATACTAGAATGGAAAGAGTTCGAGCTTGATGGATGAACCGACTGCCCACTAGAATGATGAGAAGCCGTCTTTGATGGGTGAACCGACTGTGTACTGGAACGAATCGAAGCTATACTAGAATGTAAAGAGTTCGAGCTTGATGAATGAACTAATGGTTCACTGGAATAGACCGAATGTATGCTAGAATGAGCAGAAGCCGTACTAGCTTGGAGAGAGGCCGAGTTCCATGGATAAACCGATAATCCACCAGAATGAACAGAAGTCGTACTAGAATGTAAAGCAGAAGCTAGGCTTGATGGATGAACCGATGGCTCAGTTGAATGAATTGATGGTCCACTAGAATGAATAGCAGAGCTTAGGCTGGATGAATGCACTGAGGTTAAACTGAAATGAACCGAAGATACAATAGAATGTGAAGCGGAAATTGAGCTGGATGGATGTATCGAAGCCACACTAGAATGAACAGTAGAAGCTTGATTGGATAAATGCGTAGAAGCCGTGCTAGAATGTAAAACGGAAGTAAAGCTGGATTTATGCGCGGAAGATACACTGGAATGAAGAGAGGCCAAGCTGGATACATGAGCCGAATTTATACTAGAATGGATAGCAGAGGTTTGTTGAGATGGATGCGCAGAATCCGTAATAGAATGAAGAGAGGAGGTCAAGGTTGATTGAGGCACCGGAGCTACACTGGAATGGATAACGGAAATTGTATTATGGACGATATGAGATGAATGGCTCGAAGCGAGGTTGGTATGATGAGCCGAGGCCACATTAGATGGATACACCGAATGAACAGTGGAACTGGAGGCCAAGTGGGATGAGTGGAGAGCTGAATGTTCGGAAGCTGCACTGGTATGACTAGAAGTCGCAACAGAACCCGCATGAGATGAGTGTTCTGAGGCTATACTAGCATGACTAGAAGTTGTAATAGAGTCTGTATGAGACGAGTGAATCGAAACTACACCAGAATGGCGAGAAGTTGCAATGGATTCTGCATAGGACGAGTGACTCGAAGCCAAAGACATGTGAACCGGAACCGAACCAGAATGACTCGCAGTTGCAACATGGCTCGCATCAGAGTGATGACTCGATGCGAAGTTGGATAAGTGGCTCGAAGTTAAGGTGGAGTGTTTGGAAGCTAAGGAAGTATGAGTCGGAGCTACGCTGGTATGGCTAGAAGTTGCAACAGGTTCCGCATGAGATGAGTGAATCGAAACCACACCAGAATGACTAGGAGTTGAAACATGGCCCGCATTGGAATGATGACTCGAAGTTAAGGTTGAGTGACTGGAACTCAAGGGTGTATGAATCGGAGCGACGTTGGAATAGCCAACAGTATGTTTACTAGTAATAGTATCCGTCTGGTGACTTGAAGCTAAGTTGGAAAAGTGACTCGAAGGTATAGTCTTGTGAGCCGGAGTGACACTGGAGTGACTAATGGAGTTCTTTTTAGTAGTAGCTTGCGAGTGATGACTCGAAGTTGAGACTGAGTGGCTCGAAGACTTAGAAGTCTGAGTCAGAGCTTTACTAGAATGACTAGCAGAAATTATACTGTGGATTGTGTTGAAGTGATGACTTGAGATTAAACTTGTATGACTCGAAGGTAAGGATGCGTAAACTGGAGCCTTACTTGAATGAGCGGCAGAACTTGAACTAGGGATCGCATGAAAATGATCACTGAAAGCCAAGGAAGTATGAGCCGAAGCTTTGCTAGAATGGCCAGCAGAACTTTTGCTATGGCCCGTATTGGAATGATGAGCCAGGGAAGTGTGAATCAAATCTTTGCTAGAATGACCAGTAGAAGTTTCAACATGGGGGACATTCGATAGATGAGTCCAAGGCTCGCTGGACAAGTGACTCGAAGCCAATGATGAATGAATCGACGGCAATTTGGATGGATGAGCAGTTCCTACACTAGAATGAGGAGTTGAAGTTTTGACCGGAACAACATTGGACGAATGAGTTGAAGATAAGTATGGGTGAATCAACGGTAAGCTGGATGAATGGCTCGAGACAGCAGCTACACTGGAATGGGCACTCGAACTTATGGGGGCAGTCTTCAATGAGTGAACCGAAGCCAAGTGTGAGGAGCGAATCGGCAGCACTTTGGACGAGTGACTTGAAACAGAAGCTACACTAGAGTGTAGACTCGAACCTATTACAGGGACAGTATCGGTTGAGTGAGTCGAAACCGACTTTGATGGGTGAACTGAAGCAGAAGTCACACTCGAATGGAAAGCGGAAGTTTCAACAGGGCTTGCATTGGACCAGTGGATCGAATATAAGCCAGGTGTATGAGTTGGAGGTAGGTGGGATGAGTGGGTCGAAACTGAGTTGCCTGTGGTGATTGATGGGATAACAGCAGACGGATGATGAATAGATGGCTTTTCGAAATGGGCACTGGCAGTGGAAGCAAGTCCAGCAACCGCGATGAGGGTATTGCCTTTGCAGCGCATCTTGATCGATGCTTGTAGTTAGGAGAGAGTAGGTCAGACAAATCTCGAATCTTTCGTGGTTTGGATAGTAAGGAAGTAGAAAATAATAAAAGCTTGAAATTAAGAGGGATAAACTTATATGAGAAAGAATTTCAGTGGTGATCGAATTTGACTTACTAGTAGCTCTACAAGCAATAATTTTCTTGTTTCCCTTTGACTAGGACACACTATACGTCAATTATAAGATACCAAGAAGAAATTTGAGACTAATATGTGGTTTGGTCCATTAACCTTCGGTGGATCTAGATATCAAGGTTGTTGTTTACTATACATGCATGAGTAAACAGAAGCTCAAAATCATAGCAAGCCCCTCGACTCCATACTTCCAATAGTCTGTAGTGTCGTCCAATTTCATATCATAATTTTGTTATTCTGAGAACATTCCTATCAGTTATGGTTACAAACGGATTCGACAATTGTAACAATTCCGATATCTGACATGACTTCAATGTCTAAAATGATTTCAATGTATAGATAACTTTGATGACTGAGATGGTTTGAATTTTTTGAAATAACCTCAACTGAATATATTTCAATATTCAAAGCTTTTGGCTGTTGAACTGTAGTTCGCACTATCGAACACTCTGCTTCAAATTATATCAATAATTTGGGTGATCGAATACAAACTCATATTTCAAGGAAGCAAAAGAAAGGAAAGAATCGGGAGCTGCATTGAGATTTAAGGCAATAGATAGTGTCATAGCATTCACACTATAGCTCAAAGAATAGATGGTTTTAATAAAATCCTAGCCATTGGTATATTTTAGACTTGATCGTACGGAAAGGAAAGTTTTGGTGCTAATACCAAGATTGGATGATGATTCATAGTAAACACTGTAGAATGTAACAGAAAGGAAGAGAAATCGATTGATGGAACCATCCGACGGTGTTTACTATTTATTCTCTTCGTTCACCGGTTGTCTAGACTCCAAAATATCGCTCAAGTTGATATTGTGGGGTTTTAGATATCAAGAAGGGGTAAACTATATACCAGTCTCAAAATGGAAAACCGTTAGGAGATAAACTTTGTTCGAGTACCGACGTCTACTTGGTACCTGAAACTTTGTTTGAATTGGTAGTAAAATATTTGATAGTAGTATACCATTGGTCCATCTAATCAACAGGTCAGAACCAAAGTCTTGGATCAATGTCCTATTATGAATATATATACTACTTACTAGTGAGTCGCTGATCTATCCATCAGAATAGGCTATTACGAACCATCTCGTCATGATCAACATCCAAAATACCTCTTCTCGATCCACCTCTCCTCGTAGTCCTGAATTATCGTGCATACCACAACTTTAACCTCAGGGAAGACCTTTGTAAGTCTGTTTAATCCCATTTTCCCTGCAGTATAAGTCACAAATACAATCTTCTCGGGCGGTACTCCATGATCGACAAGAATTTGGACCGACATAAGTGCAGCTCCCCCACTTGACATTTGTGGATCAAGTAACAAAACACTATCATGTTTGTTGATATTGTCCGGTAAATTTAAGAAATGTAATTCTGGTTCACCCGTTCGGATATTCGATTGAATCAGCAGCCTTCCAGTTTTGCAATCCGGAATGACCCGCTTTAAGCCAGTTTCCAGAGCTCCTCCGGCCCGAAGGATAACAACTGCACTAACTTCGCCCGTAGCTATCAAACCATGGTACTTGTTACCGATTGGTGTCTCAACAGTTTTTTCTGTGAAGAATATATTGTTCATAGCACTATAATTTATTAGAAACGAGACCAAAAAATCAATATCTTGAAACAATACAATGACAACATACTGTTCAACGAGTAAAGTAGCAATCCGGTCAAAGTAGAAAACAAATTCTTCTGCCGGAGTTCCTATATCTTGGATGATGGTATTCATCCCTTTGAATTGAGGCGTTTGCTCCAAAAGAAGAACTGATTTAGATAGAGGCTCATCCTCAGCACCCAGACCCAATTTCTTTAAAGCCATAATGTGTGCTATTGATTTTTCCTTTAATGTTCGCTGGATGTACTGTACGACCATATCTATCGAAAATTAATACAGTGCAGAATTCATGAAGCGGAAGTGGAACTTACTGATAGCAACTCGGTTTTCTACACCTCGTGGCACAATGATATCTGTTCAAAGGATTAGGCATCTGCCGTGAAACATGATGGAGCCACAAATCAACGTTATAGCTCATTTCGTGGCATATTATGTGAGATCTTACCGGCAATTTCTCCCTGAGGCTCTACATATCGTTGAAAGTTTGGCTTCACAAACCCAAACCATTGCTTTATAACACCTTCAATATCTCTACCTCTTTCTGCGACATCTCTAAGGACTAGCAAACAAAATCAGTTGAGTTATAGTCAAGCAATTAGATTTTATCATTTAGCTGCTTGAAATGCATTTTTAACATAGAGGAGGAATCATACTTCGCCGGGATAAACAGGTATCTCCATCTGCTTGACAGAATACCTAAGACAAGTTAGTCCTTCCTGAATTTAACTCCTTCTCTGAACTGAAGAAGAAAATTACCTTCATATCTAACAATTCAAGAACTCGAGGATCGTATAATGCAAAAATACCCTCCAATATGAGTACATGCGGGGAATATATTGATGTTGTCTCCTTCTCTCGAGCATGCTTTGCGAATGAGTAGATAGGGATCTCTGCTCTCTTTCTAAGCAACAAAATTAATCATATGACAATGTATCCAGTAGGAATACATGGAATTCGCTTCTCTCCAGATGTAGCATCGTAGATGACACTTACCCTGCTTTCAGGTCTTGCAATATTTCGACTAGTCTATCGAAATCTATTGCATCCGGTGAATCAAAGTCATATTCATTCAAAAATGCTTTTCGTGATCCTTCCGCGTCTAAAGACTTATAAAACGAATCCTTTTTTTCACAATCATTAATGGGTCGATTGATATAGGAATGAGGAAAAACAGAATTACCATGCTAAGAATGCAAACCCATGGCAAGTTCATTTGAGAGATAATGGCATGAGACAAAGTAGATTTCCCTGATCCAGAACTTCCAGCTATACCTATGATACTAACTCCAGCCCATGGAGGAGAGTAGTGAGCTTGTTCTTTCACACATACAGCCATTGTGAAAGTTGGAAAAAATGCTGATTATGTTATGTAGTTCTAGGTATCTGGAGACTTCAGCAATCCATGTCAGTAAGAGAAAAAGAATATAAGACTAGGTGAGCAATTTGAGTACGGCAGCACAATATATACAGAAGCAATTCTACCTATGTACACTTGAATCATTACATTTTTTGCGCAGGAGGGGTTACGGTCGTCTTTTTCAGATATCACGTGCCTAGTTACGTAAGGTTGGCTGAAACTTAACCCATAAAGGTTTAGACTCTGGAGCAAGCTTCTACTTCTACTTTAAATCTCAAATCAAAGCTTTCCTTTCCTTTCTATTCTTCCAATAACCTCATTTTTTCTTTACCAACCATCATCTTTTCTTTATTCACACCAATAAAAACTTATAATAATTGTATCAGTGCTGGACACTTCAAGATCACTTACAATTGTTCTCTACCTCTTTATGGATAAGAGATAATTTTTGGTGTTGTAAGAATGGTACGCAAACAAACACTCTTGATAGCTTCGTAGATATCTATCAGTAGCTAACTTGATTCAAATCATAGGCCTCTTCAACAGCTACCGCAACACCCTCAAGACTTAACACATTTGAGAGACCGCTTTCACATACTGCGTTCGAAAAGCGTGTCGATAATGTAAAACCAATGAAGAGGTAGGCATTACATTTTCTCTTTCTTACCTCTGTGCTTCATTGAAGCTCCATCATTGGCAAACTTTATATGATGACTATCATCAACTGGGAATCTCTCCTAAAAATTACGCATGCGGAGAACAAATTAGTTGTTAACTGATATACTGCCACTCTTACCAATTTGGCTGTCGCTCAGCCTGATATGAATTGATAATATGCAGCCAAGCTAACATTTATATTCATTAATAGTGACATCAATGCTTTGATATTAGATTATCTTACAACCGAAGGTTATCCATCTGCAGCTGCAAGGTTCTCCAAAGAAGCGAATCTTAAGCCACAACAAGCAGAAGAGTTTGTCAAAGCTCGTCAAGCCATACAGCATTCCATACATCTGGGAAGCATACAAGATGCTATCGACGCAGTAAATGAGTTGGATCCTCAGGTTAGTACTATCCAATCTCTCTTCATCATTTCCTTGCTATGATTAAACAAGTTCATGCACCACTCATATAGCCTTCGGGTCGTTGATGAGATACAATACCATACTTCAGTCCTCAGTATGAGCAACTTTCAACCCTATTATCATTCTTCTTCATATGCTCGTTGGATGTTTTCTAACATTACCAAAAGGTTCTCGAAAATAATCCAGCCCTTCATTTCTCACTCTTGCGACTTCAACTGGTTGAGCTCATTCGGACTTCCGGTAGTGATGTCGCTCCTGTCATAAATTTTGCCAGGACTCAACTTGCACCTCGAGCTGCAACCAATCCAGACTTTCTAGAAGACCTTGAAAGGACAATGGCTCTACTAGTCTTTCAGCCAGATAACCTCGAGCCAAAGCTAGCTACATTGATACACCCTGACCTTCGAAGGTCTGTCGCTGATAAAGTTAACAAAGCTATACTACAATCTCAGAACAAACGTCGAGATGCGGCCATTAGAGATCTTGTCCGCCTACGTGCCTGGGTTGAGAATACTGCACGGGATGCAAAAAAGGAAATCCCGCCTCTCATCGAGCTGGGTCTCGATAATGATGACCATGATCATGATAATATACATGGTGATGGATCCCATGCACAACAAACAATGAATGAAGCAATGATGATGACATGAGCGGGGTATTGAATTGGTTATATTTGGCGTTTGGGTTCTAGCCAATATTATTATACCCTTTTCGAAGTTGTTTCAGGTAAAACTTCTTCACAAATGTCATAGGATGGAACTGGTGTTTAACGGTAGGAACAATCATTATTTATCAGTACATAAGAAATCCGGATACAGGATTCAATTAATATAAAGTTCATTTGATAATTTACTGTGCACATGATGCTTCCTGGAGACTTTGTGCTATTCCCAAATTGTGTACTTCATTTATTCATTGATAGAAGCGATGCATACCTACATTAGACATTTCGATTAAGAAGCCCTATGAAGTACAACGAAGAATAGTTTTTGATAATTCATAATCATCGTTACCTCCTGTCACTTCCACATTCTACACTCGAAGTATAACAAGAAAAATTCATCCGCCTTCACGGCATCTAGTGGGGACCATTCTCCGAGATATCCGTGAGCGGGCGAGACGGACTGAGGGTGATGGGGTGATGGTGGGGAGGAGTGAAATGAGTACGTCAGAGAAAAAGAGAAGCCCAGAATCTCGTTCCCCTACAACTTGGCAAAAGCTTCACACAGCTAGAAATTCATTAATACGAATACCTTCTTTTTACCTGCAGACCAAGCTAACTAGAATAATTCTTATATCGAATTGTTGATTGATTACATTCTTAATATTTATTTGAGTTATGAGCTTCAGTTATTAATTGAGTAAAGAAAGTCTCACCAGCAAATTTAATGACATACACAAGTATGCTCCTTCGTCAACCCGCCTCATCTCTTGGGAGAATTGGCAACAATCATTCCTTATTACTTCGCAGATCGCCATATTCTTCTTTCGGTCGATCTGCACTATCCTTCAGTTCTCTGCCGGGTCAAAAGTTTTCTACGGGTTCAAAAAGACCTCTAACAGCCATCACAAACCAGACAAAATGGGGCAATCTTCCCATAACACGAAATGTTCGATTCGTATCCGGTAAACCTTTACCACAACGACGGTCAAAAGCTTTAAACTTTCTATATCGATCTGCGGCTTTGCTGGGAGGCTCATTAATAGTTTTGGGATTCGGCGTTATTGGTTTCTTCGTCTATGATGCTACGACATATCGTGAAGATTTATCTTACTCGGACATCTCAATCTCAGAGCTTGCTTTGTCTCCTCGATTGGGAGGTCCTAAGAATTTACCCATTGCTGAAGTGCAGATTGACGATGATGATTCTGAGGAAATGCAAAAGCAGAAAGATAAGCCAAAATTGGTTATTCTTGGAGGTGGATGGGGAAGCGTTGCGTTGTTGAAGACTTTGAATCCAGATGATTATCACATCACTTTAGTTTCGCCCACGAATTACTTCCTCTTCACACCGATGTTACCTTCTGCAACGGTAGGCACATTGGAATTTCGATCTTTGGTGGAACCAATTCGACGGATTATTACAAGAGTTAAAGGTCATTTCATAAGAGCTACGGCAGAAGACATTGAGTTTTCGGAGAAGTTGGTAGAATTGGCCGGGAAAAGTCCAGATGGTAAAGAAGTTCGATTTTATCTACCGTATGATAAATTGGTTATTGGAGTTGGATCAACAACAAATCCTCACGGAGTAAAGGGATTGGAAAATTGTCATTTCTTGAAGGATATTGATGATGCTCAAACCATTCGAAATTCTATTTTGACCAATTTGGAATACGCATGTTTACCAACAACAACTGACGAGGAACGAAAGAGATTGCTTTCTTTTGTTGTTAGTGGAGGTGGTCCTACTGGAGTAGAATTTGCTGCCGAACTGTTCGATCTTTTGAATGAAGATCTTACAGCACACTTTCCTCGTATTCTCAGGAATGAGATCTCCGTCCATGTTATTCAGAGTCGAGGACATATTCTGAATACATATGATGAAGCGGTATCCAAATACGCCGAGGAAAGATTCGCTCGTGATCAGGTGGATATCCTTACCAATTCTCGAGTCCAAGAGGTCAGACCAGATAAAATTCTCTTCACTCAAAAGGGAGAGAATGGTGAATCAGTCATCAAGGAATTGCCCATGGGATTTTGTCTTTGGTCTACAGGTGTTTCTCAAACCCAATTCTGTCAAAGAATTGCTGCAGCACTTGGCTCCTCTCAAACCAATCGTCATGCTTTAGAGACCGATACGCATCTTCGTCTAAATGGTACACCATTAGGAGACGTCTATGCAATTGGTGACTGCGCAACCGTTCAAAACAACGTTGCTGATCACTTGGTTACTTTCCTCCGAACTCTCGCATGGGAAAAAGGTCAAGATCCAGAGAAGGTCCAACTCACATTCCGCGATTGGCGAGACGTTGCACAGAGAGTCCGAAAGAGGTTTCCTCAAGCTGCAGATCATCTCAAACGTGTTGATAAACTCTTCCAAGAATTCGACAAAGATCAATCCGGCACTCTCGATTTTGGCGAATTAAGAGCACTTCTCATGCAAATCGACAGTAAACTTACATCACTCCCTGCCACCGCCCAAAGAGCTCATCAACAAGGTCAATATCTAGGACACAAATTCAATAAGATGGCAAGAGCAGAACCAGGAATGAGAGCTAATGATATGCGTGATGGCGATTTGGATGAAGCTGTCTATAAAGCGTTTGAATATCATCATTTGGGTAGCTTGGCTTATGTTGGGAATTCAGCCGTCTTCGATCTTGGAGGAGGATGGAGTTTTGCGGGAGGACTTTGGGCGGTATATGCTTGGAGAAGTGTTTATTTTGCGCAGAGTGTGAGCTTTAGAACGAGATGTTTGTTAGCGATGGATTGGGCGAAGAGAACACTTTTCGGAAGAGGTATGTTTTGATTGAGATTGAGATAGAGGGAGTGAGTGATTTTGATGGCTAATTGTTGAATAGATTTGATGAATTGGTAAATTGTCTACCGAGGAATTACTAGGGAAGGGGTGCTTGGAAAGGTTGACAGTGGTGGATTTGTATTATAGGATAGGATGGTTGGAGAATGGATCAGAAATTTTCTTCCAACAGTACGGGTACTGATTAGCTAGAACATTCAAAAAGCGTTATAGGGGAGGAAAAAGACTCTAGATACTAGAATAATTGATATTGGTTTTTGGTGTGGATTGAATTGAATTGAAGTGAGTTGGTGGAGTTTGTTTGTTAGTTTGTTTGTGTAGATAGGTACGTAGGTAGGTACTCTTGGGTAGTAGGTATTCAGTTACCTTTGTAGGTATTAGAAAGAAATATATCACTCCTCTTCTTCTTTTTCGTTCTTCTTTTCGGATTTTTTTAGGGGGGCAAGAAAGAAAGAAGGTATGAAAGTATGAAAGTATGAAAATATTCTACTTCATTCCGTTTCTTTTCTTCTCCTGGCTTGCTTTCTTATGCATGCATGCGTTTTCGCTTGGGGAGACATATTCTATTGATATCGGTATTGTATGTGTGTGTATGTGTGTGTATGTGTGTGTATGTGTGTGTATGTGTGTATGTGTGTATGTGTGTATGTGTGTATGTGTGTATGTGTGTATGTGTGTATGTGTGTATGTGTGTATGTATGTATATATACAGGTAGGTAGAGAGGTATATATGGAACTATGTATATAAGGAACTATATATATATGAGGTAAATACTTTGTCACCTTCTTCCCTTTTCCTCTTCCCTTCTCTTCTAGTGTGTGGTATTGTATGTGTATTATGTTATTATATAGTATTGGATTATTTCATTGTATTGTATTATTATTATAAGTCTTGAGATGATAGAGGAGAGGAGGGAATTGAGAGAAGAGGGAAGAGAAAAGGAAGGAGGGAAAGAAAAGGGGAGGAAAAAGAGAAAGAAAAAAAAAGAAAAAAAGAGAAAAAAAAAGAAAAAAGAGAGAAAAAGAGAGAAAAAGAGAGAAAAAGAGAGAAAAAGAGAGAAAAAGAGAGAAAAAGAGAGAAAAAGAGAGAAAAAGAGAGAAAAAGAGAGAAAAAGAGAGATAGAGAAAAAGGAAGAAGCAAAGGGAGAAGAAAAAGAGAGGAAAAAGAGAAAGAAAAAAAAAGAGAGAGATAGGGAAAAAAGGAAGAAACGGAAAGGGAAGGGGAAAGGGAAACCAAAAGCAGTATATGTATATAATAAATGTTATACTTACTGCGATTTTGGGGGAATGGAGAGAGGGGAAGATGAGGAAAGGGTAATGTTTGGGGGGAAGGGGGGTTGAATTTATATTTGGATTTATGTGTGTATATATATAAATATAAATCAATCTACCTAGGCAGTTGTAATTTATAGATGAAATAGTATATATGTATGAGTGTATTTAGATGGTAAATAGATAAATAGATAAATATCACTCCAAAAATTCAACATTACATCTACATTCTAATTCTATATATCCCGCTCCCCAAATAGTCTCGCGAGGTCTCACCTCACAACGAGATGAGATGAGATGGGATAGGATAGGATGGAGAAATAAGAAGTGAGTTATTCCCTTCCTCTTCCCGGTCTAATCATGGATTTTCCTCTCTGTTTTTCGTTGGTATTTCTAGTCTGTAGATGGGATGGGTGGGGTAGGTAGAAAGGAAGGTGAGAGGAGCACGAATAGAGAGTGTGATGGTAGAGAAGTAGCTGGGTGATGCTTTTCTTCTGAGATTGTTGGTGTTTGTAATTGTGAATATAGTTATGAATGTGATTATAAATATAATTATAAATATAGTCATAAGTTAAATATAATCATAAACACCCCTCCCTCCCTCCCAAGATCCCTCACACAAAGTATGAAGTACAAAATATGAAATATGAATATATATGGGAGCGAAGTATATGAGTAGTATAGTAAGCACCCCCTCCCCTGACCTTGGTATGAGAGATGAAGATGTACGAAGTAATCTTACGATGAGTGGAAAGGAAAGGAAGGGAAAGAAAAAGAAGGTTGTAAAGTAAAATGATAGATATGATATGATATGTAGTAGTACCAAGGCCGATAACGACCATTTTGCTAATACACCAAAAATAGAATTCTGCCTAAGCTAAAAGTATATATAATAAAAGGATGTGTATTTCTAATCAAATAAATTATTTGTTGTTGTATTATTTCGTAATTCCTTTTTGTGATATGATATTTCCCTTTCCAAATTATTAGTAAACTAATATCTCTTTTTTTCAATAAATATTGGAGTTTTTTTGATTCTTTTTAGTCTTTATATCTTATTTTTATTTGTATAATTAATATGGGCAAGTCTTAAAGTTTATTACCTTTATATAAAGATTTAATTAAGTGATGGTATATAGATGGTTATAATACTAAGGGCATCAAATAGTTGCTTTTTACTGAATTTGATATCAATATTAGAATTAGAATTATTGATAGGTATTTTAAAGAATAGGGATTTATATAAAAATCTAGAATCGAATATGATAATCCTATTATATGGAATCAAATTACAATATATTTCATTTTATTATTAAATAATCAAAAAATAGAAATAGTTTTTAAAACTAATAAGTATAATATATATAGAAATTATATTATAAAAATATATAAATCCCTTAGTTTATACAAAAGACTTATAATTAAAAAGCGATATACACAAAATCAATAACTTTTTAATATTCTAAAAAAGGATTTAGAATTAAGTTATATTCAGGGTTATAATAGGAAGCTATTATACATTTATTTTCATAAAAAGAGAAAGCTTGTGTTATGATATAGTATTACTTATTTACTCAAAATTATAAAGTATATTTTTATTAATATTCTATATTTGTTTTAGAGATATTCTTTTTTATATATTTCAAGTATTAGATCCTTAGGGTATTAAGAAACAAATGAAATATCTTTAATTAGTGTATGAGGGATATAGAACTTCTAAACCAAATTTCATTTAATCTATAGATAGACATAATAAATTATTTCTAATTGGAATTGAGATTTATACATATATTGATGCTTACTTATACTTTATTTTATGGATATATGTTGAAATAGCAAATAGATAATTAATATTAATTGTATATCAATATTTATTATTTTGCTTTAAGACTAATATAATACCTAGGTTCTTTCAAGCAAATAAAAGAATAGAGCTTCCTCTTATAATCAAAGTTCACTTTACATTATCTCGAAAAGTTAATAAGAATATAAAAGAAATTAAAAACTACTTTTAGTTCAAAAAAAATATTAAAAATCAATAGATTGAAAATTAGTAACAAGAATTTCAAATGTCATTATTATATTGATAAAAAGTATATTTCCCTACCCCTTATCAATTTTTATTCAAATAAATAAAAAATTTTCCTAATTAAATTCTAATAAAATTAATTTTTTTTTTCTTTCCTATTTTCCTTATTCTTTATATAATCAATTGCTAATACAATCTAAAATTATTTCAAAGAATTAATAAAGAATAATTAATATTATAAAAACAAATATAAAAATCAAATTGTAATTCTTATTATTTATATAAAATAAATAAAAAAAAAGATAATAGGATATATAGATCTTTAAAATATACACAATATTCGAAAAAATAAAATATGCTCTCATTACTATGCTAGAAAGCCTTTTATAATGTATTAATTCCTTCAAGAAGGGTATATGGATAAAGGGAGAACTATTTCATTTAAATTTTATAAAAAGCTTTTAATAAATTATAAGAAATAAAATATATTTATCCTTATATTATTATTTATACATTCAACTAATTTTATAAATATTAATAAATATCTATCACCAATTATAATCGAATTCTATTAAGATTTTATTTAGAATCTCGAATATAACTTGAATATTATAAAGTCAAATAATAAAATAAAGTAAAATGAGTTTATACATATATTAGTATATTACTTCCTTCACAAGTATCTACAAAGATATATTAATTTAAATCGAAAACTATTTTTATATTTATTTTTAGTATCTATAAATAAATATAATAGAATAATAAAAAAAAAGAAAACTATAAATAATATAATATATAACAATTTAAGTTTTATATAAATTCAAAGATATTATATTAATAAAATTGCTATAAATAAAAGTATAAATTATTTAATTAAAAATAAATCTAATATTGAGATTAGGGATAATAAAATTATAGATCAGAATTAAACTAAATAAAAGCTAGAAATATGATTTTTTTTAATATTCTTTATTTCTTTTTATTAGTTTTTTTTATATAATTTATTTTTTTATTCATTTTTTGTATTTTTAGAATAAATTGATTTTCAAATTAATATTTTTAATAAATATTTTATTATTTTAATATAAAGAAAAAATATAATTCCTCCATTAATTTCTATATATACTATAATATAATAAATTCTAATAAAATTCTTAAAATTATATTGATTTCCTTTAACTCTTTAATTTCTAAATCATTCTCAAATTTTTTTATTAAAAATATTATTAAAAATAAAGATTTATAAAAAGCTTACTTTATTATTGTAATATATAATAAATATATTTTAAAATAATATATAATTAAAACAAAAGATAATTAATTATATAAATAAATAAAAAAATAAAAAAATAATAAAAATATAAGTATTATATATTGAAATAAATATTAAATAATTTAAAAATATTATTTTAATAAAAAATATAGGATTGAAATATAAAAACAAAAAAAATGTTTTACAAATTACTAGTACTAAATTTATTATCAATATTATTTTAACTAAAATTACTTATTTTTATTTTAATATATATATTTTAAAGAATAATCTCAAAACTCTTCTTAAATAGATTTTAATTAATATATTTTATTCTCTAAATTTTGCTTCAATTTATTTTTTATATATAATATTTTTATTAGAATTGATTATATATAAACTAATCAATATACAAAAGAATTTATATTACTATTTGATAATTATTTATTTAAAAATCCATATATTTAGTTTCAAAATAAGGTTATTCTATTACTTATTAAGGATAACTATTAAATAGATTCTATAAACAATTTTAAATATAAGTATTTTATTGAAAATATTAAAAAAATTCAATTTAAGGATTTATTATCAATTATAATAGAATATAAAATACTTATAGATAATATATTCCAAA